AGGGAGGGAGGAAGGAAGGAAGGAAGGAAGGAAGGAAGGAAGGAAGGAAGGAAGGAAGGAAGGAAGGAAGGAAGGAAGGAAGGAAGGAAGGAAAGAAAGAATCACAATAATGTGTTGAACTTTCAAAGGGAGAGAATGCACTGTGTTTACTAGAGGTGGGACGGGGGGAGTGTTAGCGAGAAATTGTTTAATGGACACAGGAATGTTTACATTTTGTAATGATGAACTTGTTAATTATCCTGATTTCATTATCACACATTGTACACAGGTATTGATATTCAACTCTGTATCCAATAAATACGTTTAATCAATTATTTTTCAATTAAAAAAAATCTAGGATATGAATTGGACCATTATGCAAATTAGGGGGGAAAGTACTCTATATTCTTACAAAAAGAATCATTCTTTGAAAAAATACATACATACATGCATATAAAAATGAAAGGAAATATACCAAAATATTAATGACTATAGTTGTTTTTTTTCTTTTTGGTTTTCATTTTCAAAATTTTCGATGTTGTGAATAAATATTTTTATTATTATTTTTGTACTATGAAAACAATTTAATGAATTTAACAAACTAATGAAAATAATTTAAGTTAAAGCAATACATTAAAAAAATAATTTAATCTAGCAATAAGCCTTAATTTCCAGTTCGGAAGTCATAATACAAATGTAAAATTTTTTGATCATTTCCATATATTTCTTTAAATTGCTGGGTTGCCTCTACCAAACCTAACAATTTATCTGGTGCCTTATTATTCTTAGTAACTAAGTATTGCGATCACTTTAAAATTATTTCTATTAGTAAGCCTTACATACAAAAGACAAACAATATTCAACCATACTCACCGACGTTTTAACTATTAATTTTAGGATTAGCAATTTGTTTTATCAAGTTATTTACAAGGAACTAAATATTAGAAAGCTATACTTCCTTTACTTTTCATAAATATCATGGAGCTTTATCGTGTCTGTTATTGACCCTTTGGAAAAATGTTATTAATTTCCCATGTAGTTTTTCAAACTAATCTCCCATAAGGGCATTGATGTGCCCTATAGTACACTGATGTACCCGATGGTGGTTAAGACACGCGTGAGGCTGGGCATTTCCAATCACAAGCTTTTTTTGAGGCTTACCTCAGAAACAGTTTAGTTGCCATCGCCAGGTCTCTCTCAGTTGTTTGCCTGGGGTCCCGGTGGATTGAATGGCAAAGCAGAATACTGTCCAAAGTGCCCCGCTCTGCTTGGGGACTTTCCAAATCATCTCACTTCCCTCAACCCACTCCACTTACCTGACCCCCTGAACCTATGGACCCTCCCACTCCACTCCATCCTAGATCCAGCTCTTAACGTGAAACAAACCCACAGAGAACAACTGATCCAGAGAGCAACTCACCGGTACCCCTGGCATTCCACGGGGGCCATCCTTCCCTGTGTCCCCAGGTGGCCCTCTTGGGCCTGGAGGGCCTGGGGGTCCTGGAGGCCCTGCCTGTCCTTGGTCACCCTGTGATGAAGAAGGAAAGAAACCAACAATAACCATGAAAGATAAAGACCCAGGTCTTCTTTTTAACACTTTAAATTTGTATTATCTAACCCACATTTACGCTATGAGAAGAACCAGAATAACCGAAATACAAAGCCTGTAGGCAATCTGCTGCCACGAGGGAGCAAATAAATACTCATGCTGGGTGAGCTAAGTAGATGCTATTAAAATCAAAGCAGCTCAGGAACCAGCATTCAGCTCTTGGAAATAGAGTACATGTTATCACTACATTCAGAGCTGGTATAAAACTTTTGCATAACTTTATCCATGATAATGCTGCATCAGTTATATGCACCTTGTTTAATAAAATGTCTGCATTTATAGTTTGACAAATTTATTTGCTTCTTCATAACCTATAAAATGAAGCATATGAGGTTGTTGTCACATTGCATAATAATTTATAAATTACCAAGGCTGGAGAGCTGAGAAACTGGATCTGTTACTGGTTATAACTTAGGTTTTGTTTTGTTTTGTTTTTAATTAAGAAAAAATTAGATAGGCTTTCCATGCCTTTTTATTTTGGTACTTCCGTATACATTTCAAACAAATGCAGCTCACAAAACATAATTTTGTTTTAGAATATTTCTAAATAAATATCCACCCACCACCCATGCTCCACCCATAAGAGATAAATGATAAAGCAACAGTACACAGAGCAATAACTGAATGTAAAGAAGAAATCAGAATTCAGCAAGAAGAAGCACTACCTTAATCAGGCGGCGTTTAATGAGCTGCTGATCAGCAGAGAGAAACCCATGATTGATTTTAGGAAACACCATCTGATCAGTCAGGTGAGGTCAAAGGTTGAAGTTCAGAGATGAGAGAGTTGAAGAATAGACATCAGAAGGCCCCAAGAAAGAAATAAAGATATACACATTAGACTTAAATGACCATTAAACAAAATAGAACTGGCACTTGTGTCTGACATCAGACCCACTGGCTCTTCTAGAAAGAAATACAACCCTGAAACAGGATGGTGAGACCAGATTTTTAGGTAGAAATGAATCTTTTTGCTGTGGGTAGTCTTGAGACTTTTTACTGTATTCCCAGAAGCAGGAAAGCTGGTGTGACCCTGCATTCTGCACTCCGAGCAGAAAGTCTGGAGACGAAGCGCCAGTTCCATTTCTGTCAGACTTGTCAACCAGCATAATGTAGCGTGAACTCGACTGTCATTTTATTGATGCCCAAAGTCCAGAGTGCTTAGGATTATTTCATTGACTGGAAAATACCACAGAGCATTAGAATGCATGCAAGTTAAACCACTGAGGTGTGGCACAGTCTTAGACAGTGATGCCTGCTGCTCTTCACTGTACCTGCTTGACCTCAATATCCCCCTCTCGAGTGTCCTCAGGATACACCCTCTTAGTATATATCTGACCTCACCAATATAGGTGAGGTCCCAGGTGCCCAGTACTTGATGTGTAGGATGAGAGGACGCAACCGGGCTCGGCAAGCCAATTGAACAGTTCTTGCTCACTCTTATGCTGATTGCAGCTCTGACTGAGCAGGCATGGGTGTCAACCACAAACCTTGACGGTGAGGATCTGATTACTGTGCAGGGCGGCAACTGTGTGGAAGCCTGGCAGCCCCTATGGACACAGCACAGCACCAAAACAACACGACACAAAACGTCACACAGACATTGCACTGGTGGACAAACAAAACAAGCACCTGCCTAATGCCTCCCTTTCCTGGCTGTAAGTCTTGTCTGGTTGGACACACCATAAACAACAAAGTTAGTTGCGAGAGGCCCCCAAGGGAATCAACCATTCTTTAAAGCATGGAATGGTGACACCAAGAACTCATTGTAACTGCCCCTTGAGGCAGGTACAATGGGATCTGTGTATACACAGGTGTGAACAATTTGCTACTCAACATTTCTGGAAACTTACAAAATGTTAGTACAAAGTGGAGATAAAAACAGACACTGTTATGAAAACAACACTCTAATTTCCCTCTATTAATATTCTGTTTGTAACTCAGGACATACAATACATGGATTAATTCGTTTTTGGACAATAACAGTTAACAGAATTTTACTATCAGATCAGAAGTACTCTGCAGAATAATTACAGTACGCCTTACAAAAAGTAGTCTTACCACCCACAGATCAAAATTTCTCTTTCCGATCATAGGATAAATCTCAGGTCTCTGCTGTTTCAGGAATTCCTGCAGAGGTGGTGGATGGAAATCTGTCTCTTATAACATGTGTATTTCATGTCAGAGGGATTTATGGTCACGCTCTGCAGTAATCACTTCTGTCACATAACTTTTCCAAAGGAATTTGACAGTTCACACAACCCCTTAAAGCAGAAAAGTGGTTTTGAGTTCCTTAACCAAGGAAAATAGGGAGAGAGTTTAGAGACTTGTGCTTCAATGCCTTGTGCTAGCTCGTTGTCAGAGGCGTTATCAACTGGAAAAGTCTGAGACAGAAATTTTGCCTTTGTTCTGTTTCTTTCCTAACATGTCAAATTGGAGCCTTCTATTTCAATTTTTTCTAATTGAATAAAATATAAAAAATAACAAATAAACAGCACCGCAGCAAGACGTGGCCTAAGTTTCTGCGAGCCTCCTTCTTGCCCTCCCCTCTTCCCACCCAAATCTACTTTGAGGATATCTCTAGGAATGGCCAGGAAGTTTCTAGGTTTTTAATTTCACAGATTTTGTGAATATTTTTCTCCCTGTTTTCCCCATCTTAGAGATATATTTTTCTTTTTAAGAGAGCCAATAGAATTAGGTTTGCAGTATGAAGCCATTTCTTCGGGCCTCATGCCTTTGATTCTCATGCTTTAGAGCCAGGACTTCTCAGGAAGCAAAGCGGAGGAAACCTTATCCCTTTTGCCAAATCCGTTCTGATAAGGCTATTAAGTGGTTGGTAGTTTCAAGGCGACCTGTGTCCTCTTTTTCTTCTCCCTAAGTAAAAGTCCATTAAACACAGACTCTGCACAAATTGAGAAATGCTACAAGTTGGAAAACAGATGTGTACAATTTGCTTTTGTTTTACTATGGAATATGAGTTTAAAATGTTATTAGATGGTAAAGTGCCAGCATCTTTCCATCTGTGACTCATTAGCCCTATATTACACAGTCAGAATTTTATATATAAACCTTATATTTATGTAACAAAGAACAAAAACAGATACAAACAAGAAGTCTATGTGGAATCAGAATCTTGACTAGTGATGATAAATCATAATGTCACTTGAAGCAGGATTATCTTACAAAATAATTTTAAATTAAAAACTTTTTAGTAGCACAGATGGTAGGTCTTACAAATGTTGAAATCTGAATGTACAAATAAGTCACTTCTTGTACTCAGATCAGAGCATGATCAGCTTTTTGTTTGATCGTATTTTCAAAATGTTCACAAAAAGAGCGTTAAATTTTATAATTTCTCAGTTGAGATTACAATTTTAATGAAATCAAAAGAGGGAAGTGAATAGGTCATTTTCACCTCAGACAGATCCTTTTCCTCAAACAGAAAATCTCTAGTTGAGGAAGCTGATCTTGTACTCCTCAGTCATATCTGTGAAAATGCTACCAATTAGGTGCTTAGAGCTACATTTTACAGATTTCAGTAGTGAGCCGGGCAAAGTGCACCAGGAGGGTGCATGCATTAAAGTAAAAACGGTGCATGTCGAAGGATTCTCTTAAATACTAACAAAAACCCCATGACCTGCGCTGCAATATCCCAGCACCCTGTGCTTTTCAAACTGGGGTAAAAGTAATCCTCAGGGTTCACACCAGTGTTCTGGGGAGTATGAAAAGGCAATAATACATATGGTACATCTTCCCAAAAAGTCCATTTTAATTAATGGTAAATAATTTAAAACATTTTATGTAAAGTAAGCATTAATATATTTTGGAGCATGTTGCAATACTGCATAAATTTTTTAAAATTTTCCCATTTGATAGTGGTAAAGAACCCCATCTCACAGAGGCTCCCTCCAGATCATAGGTAGACACTGTCTCTCTGCTTCTTGCAGGAGTTCTTTGGAGGGTTAGTTTGAAAAGCACTGGTATTGATACTAATCTCTACGACATGGCTTTGTGTGGCCATAACCGTCAGGGTTCCCTCGCTGTTCATACAGAGAATGCCCTTTTTCATTAACTAGTTATTTTTTTCCATGGTATGGTTAGTCATAGTTCTTTCTAAATAAATGAAATGGACATATTTCACTTGGTTTTACATCTCAGAAAACTTGCCTGGTACACAGATGGTTTGAGTGGGTGTGGAAAAAAAATGTGTTTCCAGAAAAACATGGAGAAAGAGTTCAGGAATAAGCTAAAATACTGAACTAATTTGTACATATTTTCATCCCCCAAATATTTGGAATTCTTAAGACATTGGATGTACAGGAGTGTAAAACTACCTTATACGACCCGTTTTTCCTCCTGAGAGCATGAAATCTCAGACAACTGAATGAATCTTTATGACATTCTGCAAAGTAGATAACCATCTCAGGATCAGTGTTTCAACATCATTACAGGAAGGAATATATCTCTCTTCATTTCCTTCTAGAAGAAAAGATGCACGCCTACTCCAAAGGAATATTAAGCAAATAAATAATTTATAAAAACATCTAACTACTTGGAGGCTGTGAATTCAACATGTTATGGTCATTTTTACTGTATATGCAGTAATGATGAGTGTTATGATTATAGTGAGAAATTTTGTGCTTTGTCAAAAGTATTCAATAAGGCAATAATAGAGCCAGAAATTCAATCCAGGTCTTCTAATTCCAGACTTTGTCATTATGCAATTTATGTGTTTCTAATTTCTTCCTACTTACTTTATAGTTTAAATATCAAAAATTGACTAACACTCAACACTACAGCAGAAGTGTTAGCTGAGTGCCTTCTGTGCAGCACTCACTGTGGTAGGCCCTGGGAATTGAATGGTGAGCAAGACCCCAAGCTCACAGGGTTAAATGTCTAGTGGGCAAACAGGAGGAAATAAGCAGGCAGTAATCATGTGGAATGAGAAGTATTATGGGGGGAAGCACAGGAGCTACAAAGAAAATAAAATTGCACCTAATGCCAGGTTTGAGGAGCCATGGAAGACTTCCCAAGTCAGGTGAATCAGAAGCTGGAGGTTGGTAGAGCAAGGGAAAAGCCAAAGACAGAGAGATCATTCAGGCAGATGTTACAATAGTCTAGTTGTGGGACTGTGTCTTAGAAATAGAGGCAGGACAAATTTATAGTTTTGAATGATGTTAAGGAAGTAGAATTCGCAGGACTTTTAAGTTGGCTGAGAACATAAGTGAGAATAAGGAGCAAAGAATGGTCCAAGGTCTCTAATTTAAGCAATGGAAGGATGGTAACACTAGAATAAAAGAGGATTTTCTGGGGCAGGTAGGTGGTTACGGATGAATTCAGTTAGAGATTGCTGAATTGGAGATGTCTATGGACAACCAAAGGCAACAATTGGATATGCATATAAAATAGTCAGAAGAAAGGTGAGAATCACGAATGACGGGGCTATCTGAGTAACCCAGGGAGGCTGTAGAGAGAGCAGACCTAGGAAAGGACCCTTGGAAAGACCTGGATTTAAGGAGTGAGCAGAGGAAGAGGCAACTAAAAGAGGATTGATAAAGAATGGTTGCAGAAGCAGAAACAATGCTAATTCTCCTCACAAAAATTCTATACAGGGAAATGACACAGAGCGACAGACGCACATACTTGACTTCACTTTTATTGCATCATTCATTACGTATAAATGCACATAGCTGACTCCTAGTAAGAACAGGTTAACAATGGCCTATGTCACTGACAATGG